GGGGGGGGGGTCTCACCAGAGCAGAGTAGAGGGGGAGAATCCCTTCCCTCGACCTGCTGGTCACGCTGCTGGTGATGCAGCTCAGGACGTGGTTGGCTTTCTGAAGAATTGACAAAACCTTGTCTCCTTCGACCCTCTTGAGCAAGATCTGAAAGCATGTTCTGAAAAGCATGCCTGTTGGTAGATCTGCAGAAGTGGTAACATCAGGTAGTGGCGATGATCTGCCTGGACCTACTGCGCCACTCTTCTGAGGCTGTATCTTCGCTGATGATGGAGTTTACAGCCTGGTTTTCTGTGGCTGCAGCCCAGAGCTGGAGTAACCATTTGTACAGGGAGAGCACTTGGAGACTTCTCCTACCTACCTACCCACCCATTTTGAATCTTTTTGAAAGTTAAGGGCCTGAGGTCCCTGCCCTCTGTCACATCTGGTTGAATTTAGGAGCTCTGTGGGGTTCGGCTGGTGGCTGGGCTCCGGAATAGTCACACAGCCTTGTTCCTGTAAGAGGCCAGTTGAGATGGCTAGCTGCTCACGTGGTGGATCCTAGGGAGCGTTGGGCTTCCCTCCTCACAGCTCCACTTCGATCCACGCCGGAGGGGACTGGTGATGCTCATCTGCAGGCAGGATTTTCACCAGGAAAGAGACACCGCCTTTAATTAGGGAGGAAAGGAGGGTCCTGATAAAAAACCATGTAGAATATTCACAAAGAAAACTCAACAAAAAACCTCACACAATCAGCAGCTCTCCAGAGGTTAAAACAAAACCTGGCACGCAGCCCTGCACTGGAGGTTTAATCTCTGCTCTGCGTGGGTGCGCGTGGTCCTTCTGAAGCCCCCAAGGAGAAACGATGACGCAGGGCTTGTTTCTGAACACCCCCACCCCTGAAGTGTGGTACTTGTCATCTTAGGGATGTGGGAAGAGGGTTTCACGTATCCACAATTACTCATCGGCACCAGAAGTATGTTTCCTGTTGCGGATTATTTAGTGGCAGATGCCAACTGGCACCAAGGTGTTAATGTGAGCTCTTTACATTCTGTGAATTGTTTTGAGTTGGAGGAGGGACTTGGTTGCTCTTTCTATTAACACAATCATCTAAAGCGATTTGGAAGATGCTATATGCTTGAGATACATCAATTTAGTCATGGAGCACAAAAGGTTTAAAGACAGTAATAGAAGTAAGAGGAGAATTCAGTGAGTTTCCCTTTTTTCCTTTTTTTTTTAAGCCAGGGCTGAACCTCAGTGGGAAACAAGACATTTGTGTCCTTCCACTTCTTTGCTTAACCCACAGATATCTGTATCTACATTGTTGGGATGTCGAGTAGTTTGTGCAGTTAGCTGAGGAGCTGCAGCATCCCCCCAGCAGCAGCAGAAGCTCTTTTATCAGCCGCGTACGTGCTTTCCCTGGTGCCACTTCCTTTATTTTAACCTGTGCCCAGATTTTCAGGGTGTCTGCCCTCGAAGCTTTGTGCTGCTGTTTCAGTGCCGGTGCTTGCAGGATGATTAATTGGGCTGACTCTGGGTCTGTGGACGTGAACAACTGTGTCTTTCACTTACAGATCTCACCAATATATTTGAATCGTTCCTGCCCCAGCTGCTGGCCTATCCTAACCCTATAGATCCTCTAAATGGTGACGCTGCAGCCATGTACCTCCACCGACCAGAAGAGTACAAACAGAAAATTAAAGGTAAGGGTGTAAATAACATGTTGTGGAATGAGTGGTGTTACTGTGATTTCACCCTGGGGGAATGTGGGCTCTCTTTGCTGCGCGTTTGTGTGTCACTGCCCATTTCTTCCCATTACAGGGGCCCCGTCCATTTTAAACGGGGGTAGTCAGAAGTAAGGGGTAGATGAACTGCTGCTGCGGTGTGCGCAGTATGTGGGGAAGGGTTTTTAAATCAATTAGCAGACCCTAAGCAGGGAAGGCTGTAAGCAAACTGGGTTAGGATTCAGCACGATTTTGAGAGATTGGAGAAACGATTTGGAAGAAAAGTTGCGCGATCAAAGAAGGGACAAGGAAAAGCATTAAACTGAAATGGAGCGTCCAGTTGCACGATCACTGGATAGAAAGTGGCTTGTTAGCAGTTCTGTGGAAAGTGATCTGAGAGCAGCAATCAAGGAATCGGTGATGCTGTTGCAGAAAGCACTTTTGTACTGTGATAAAGCAGGAATTTTCAGTAAAGGTCAAGTAATCGTTCCTTGCTACTTCCTAGTTAAGCCGAGGCTTACTAGTGCTGTGCCCGGTTCAAGGACTGCCCTTTAAGAAAGCTGCAGCCCAGTTCGTAATGTCTGGAAGGGTGAAACAAGGGCAGGTGGTCTTGACGTGTCTTAAGAGGAGAGATGGAAGGAATTGGAGGATTTCAGTGGGGTTATGAGCTTTGACATGTCAAAGTTGCCTTCAAAGAGGGAGGGAATGATTTATTCTGTGATGAGTGCGAGTAGGATGCGGTTATAGGCGTGGAACTCAGCTGGGGGAGCCCAGGCTAAATGTAAACAGTGACTGGTGATAGAAGGACTGTCCTACCAAGCTGGTAAGAAAGACACAAATTTAATTAGTCTTGCAAACATAAGAAATAAGGTGAAAAATAAGAATTGCATTTTAAATTTGCGCTCTGCCTTCCCTAGAATCAGCTTCCTGCAGGCAGGAGCAAGGCACCATTTCCTGATGTGACAGGCCTGTAGCAAAGCCATTTTTTTCTCCCCTCATACAGTAAACACAATCAGCATTTAATCCAGTGGTGGGAAATTTACAGCCTTTGGCCCAGATTTGGTCTTCAACTAAGTTTTTAAGAGACCATGACCGCCTGATTTATTTATTATGGTTTTTTGTTACTGAGTAACCATTAGACTTGTTTGTCCATGGGACCCCTGCCAGAAAGGTTTGCAGGGCCTGGTCAACAAGGAGAGCCTCCGTGAGCGGCACGATCTAATCATCTTCCTCCTTCTGAGGTGGGGTAGCAGCTTTCCTAACGGAGCGTTGTGAAAGCTGGCTCGTGTTCGGAGAGCACAGGTATCCCAGAAAGACGTGGGATTTGGTGGTGGAGTTCTTCCATCAGCTCTGCCACGTCACTCTGGAGTGGTTAAACCTCGAGTCACTTTGTTCTGATGCGAAATGACTCTTCATCAGCTGCAATTTTTGTTTGAGGGCGGAACTACAAATGAGGCCAAGCAAAGCTGTGATTTAAATACTGAGTTATTCAGCCCACTTTGCTTGCCTCCTCCAACAGCTGCATGACAGGATCGTAAGAACTACCCTGCAGATCTGCCCTGCTCGGTATCCTGAAGTCCATTGACTTTTTTTTTTTTTTTTCTCTCATGTGAACAAGCTTCCAGGCAAAATGGTTTGTCAGATAAAATCTCCAGGGCTAACACAAGGGACACTTTGAGTGTCCTCTGTGCTTTAATGAAACAGGAATAAAAAAAGATGCACCCTGGGGGGGGAAAAACAACAACAACAAAAAAACCCCACAAAAAACCAACAAAAGCCCTCCCAAATAACCTGGTGTTGGCCAAGAGCAGGTGCTTCAAGGAAGATCTGAGGACATCCCTCAGGGAGGCTAAATGAGATAGTCTGCTCCCTTGTTTCCATCCTGACAGCCAGGTAGAGGCCATGAAGATGATCTGGAAGGAGTTTTAAGTGCTTGCAACATGTCTCATGTTCCATATACCCAAGAGTCCTGCCTCTGCTGTCTCTTCCCAGGCTTGCGTGACAAGTATAAGGTAGAGCTGAACACTGTCATTCCTCATATCGTAGCGTTTTTAAAAATAGCCTTGGACATGTTAAAATTGATGCAATGGATTGTAGCAGCTTCTCTGCTCTGGGAAACTCAGTATGGCAGGTAAATAATTTATTGCTGCTTTTCTTCATTTTTTAGTTATGAGCACATAGAACAGTTGTTTTGACGTTGTGGTAGTGAAGAGATGGGCGTAGGCTTACAGATGTGGCCCAAGATTTGTAGTTCCTTTGATTCTTGGTATGAGACCCAAACAAGTAAGGATTTATTGTGGAACTTATAAATGTCCATTAATATTACCAATATACAGCTGGAGACCGTGATTCTTCATGTTAGAGCCTTCAGGTGGAGGAAGTAGCTTTGGTACCTTTGGTAGATCTGATATGAAAACTTCTTTTGGGAGGGTGGGAGTGGTGAGTAACAGCAGCTGAAGGGTACTGAGGGGCAGGCTGAGTGTTTGCTGGGAGCAGAGGACGTCCCTGGGAGCAGTTCTCCCATCCCATGTTTAGGCTCTGAAGTTTCGGGAGAGTCCTTTGAAGCACCGATATGGCTCACGGGCACGTACCAGCCACGGGGTGCAACCACAGCTGGTTCTCGTTGCTCCAGGTTTCCAAAACAGATGAATCAAAGTGGTGTTTCCCTGGCAGGAATGGGTGCATCAAGACTTCCCCTTGTTGATGTCAACAGGCTTCTGTGGAAGAGAGTTTGTCAGTATAATTTAGATGTTGCCATTTTCTTCCCTTAATAGACTGAAGATTCAAGGTCAATATAACATTCAGCACAGAAGCTCCCTGGAAGTTTGATCTGTCCCAGATTAAACCTTCAGAAAAACCCAGCCCAGGGACCTGGTAGCTTTTCTGGGTAGATGATGGCATTTTAACTTTGAAGTGCTTCAAGTTGTGTTTTAGCTTAGGCTCAGGCAGGCCTTTTCCAACAGTAAGAAACAGTGGCTTCCATGTCCGAATCTCCAGTGGCCCCGAGAACGCTTGAAGTAGTCAATGAAGAAGTGCTGCTGGCCTCCTGTCCTGCCATGGTCACTGGCTTGTGGCTACTGTGTTTGGGGACTCCCAAGGCAGCCACAGCGTTTCTTTAGGTGGGTTTGGGGTAAGGGTAGAGGGAATGTATTTCTAATGTGCCCAGTAAGGGGTTGCCTTTGTCATCCAAGGACATCCAAAGTCTTACAGCAAAGGGACCGGGATTCCCTTTGCTGGATTGTGCAAGGAATAACAATTTCTCTGGGTAAACACCCCTTTTCCAGAGGGAGATTAATTCTTGGAAAGCTATGGGGAGGGAGTAGCTGCTACACGTCAGCATCCCGTCTCCTTAGCTCTGCTTTTTGTCTACTGCCAACCCACCTTCCCACATAAATTCTCTGAAGACACACTGCTTTTTTGGTCCCTCCTTCAGTTGGTCCCTCTCATCTTTAAACCATTAGGTCTGTTGCACCAATTCTTCTCGCTTTGCAGTGTCCATCTCTTTGGGCAGATGGTCCCTGCCCCAAACTCTGCAGCTCCTGTTCTCCTGTACAGGGAGGAGACGTGATCGGGCAGGGTCTAGGCTCCATGGTGACGCAGGCAAGCACCTTCCAAGAAGGGGGTTCTCAGTGGCCGGGGCCTGAGGATGGAGCACCAGGGTGCTTTTCTGTTGATACTACGTTGGCTCCAGCAGCCTGAGGGAAATCCGAGACCTTGAGTGGTCGTAGCTGCCTTCAGTACTTCATCAGTTCTTAACGAGTTCCTGTAGAACAGATTTGAACAGCTGCTTCTGTAGTCCGAGTGAGCAGGTTAATAATGTATATTAAACAGTTAGACTGAAGCTGCGTGCGTCATTAGATGGAGAAGCTGAAGCTCACTGGGTTCAGAAGCACCTTCCAGCCAGCTCTCAGAGCTTTTCCAGGGTGGAGCAGGTCTGCCAAGGCCACCAGCTGCTCCATCCTGGGAACTCCTCCAGGAAGTGCTGGCCTTGGGCTGCTCTGTCTGTACTGTACTCCTGAACCCAGAGTAACGTGTTTGGGCTCTGTGTCCCTACATTGGCTCCAGAAGTGTGGAAAAAACCCATGATGATGATGATGATGTAGATCTCTTGCAGAGTATTGTCCCTTCCATTAGTCTGAAGGATTGAAGTGTGGAGGGAAGTAGAGATGGCTTTAAGAAGAGCCAGGCTCTGCCAAGCCCAGTCTTTAAAACCTGTATTGTAGCACTTAGTTATCTGGCATTAGATGCATGCTCCCGCAGCTTTGTCTGTAGCTGCTGTTTGTACCGTAACTGCTGTTACGGTATGGAATAGAAAGCAGTGACCTGTGCTCCGGGAGGAGCTCCTTGTGGACCTCGTTCCCTAGGAGGAATTAAAGAACATACAGTTGGGACAGCTGCTGGGCTGGGACTGGGATGTGACATTCCCATTTCCGTGCAGGGGCTCATCTTTGAGCACAAAGGATTGATGGTATTCCCTCTTTCTTCAGTTTTTTAATGCCGCTGTTTGGAGGAGGATTTGTCATGGTTTAGCACCTTCATATCTAGAAAGATAATGACTTTGCAACTGAAATTCCCCAACGGCACCGTGAGCACAACACCCCTCTCCTCACCAAAGTGCGTGACCCTCAGTGTGGAGAATGTTCATCAGGATACTGAGGTTATGTCACTTCTTTGTACAATGAAGCTGCTTTCTCAGTGTGAGGTGGAAAAGAGGAGATAAAGAGAGGAAGACTTGACGTTGAGGCTGAGCACCCCTTCTCTAGCCCAGTTTCGTGCCAGGCTTTCACCTCTGCTCCATTCTGCACGTCTGCATGCGCGTAAGGAATAGGGCTCTCTCTGCTCAAGATCACCTGCCTGCTGGGGACACCAGCCCCTCCTCGGATCTCGGAGGGGTCACAGGAGCCATGAAGGAGGGAAAGTGGTTGCCAGACTCTGATTGATCCGATCCACTTCATGTTGCCTTTTTGCTCTGCCCCTCCGCACGGAGGTGACCGTGGAAGCCACACAAGCAGCGGTTACTTTACCTACCGGCAGGAATCCCAGTAAACCAGTTTCCGTGCTTGCTGTACAGCTTCCTGCTTGCTCCTGGCTGAAGTTCAAGGTGTTGATTCAGAGACCTAGAGCCAGCGTGGTTTGGACCCCGCTGAGAGACATGGTTTCTATCGGTGACCTGCAGTATGGTGGCTCCCCGTGGGTCCTCCTCAGCTAATTCTGTGGCTGCTGTCTGATGTGAAGCAGGTTGCAAGAAAACAGAGCCTGGGGCAGACCCGTGTTTACTTTAGGGCTGGGGAAGGAAAAGAGCTTTTGCTTTTTATTTAAAAAAAAAAAAAGGTGCAGCTATTCCTGTTGTAGTCTTCTGCTCTGCTTTAGTTTAGTTTCCAGAGTTTAGTCTGGAAGTTTAGTCTGGCTCTCTGCTTCAGTGATGGTTGTTCTGTGCTATCGGTTTAAATTCTCAGCTCGTTGTTTTTAAAGTCAGGCTATGTAACGGTGACACCTCAATGGCTTTTAAGCTTGTTCTCCAGGTCACCATGGTAGCTCCTATTTTGGCAGTAAATTGAGTCCTGTCCTATTAAGTGAGATACACCGTACCAAGGAGGATGTAGGTTGTTTCCAGCTACGAGTGTGTGTGATGCTGACGCGGGAGCCTTGGGATCGTACTTGTTTTCGAGGGTCTTGCACGTCTCCAAGGTCTCCATCGGCCGTTTTCACGTGGTGTTGGACAATGCTGCCTTTGGTCTGAGAAATATCGTAACCTATATGACTTATCAAACGTGTTGTGACCCAACCAGCCGTCGGTCGTAGTTCACCCATTCTCTGACTGTTGAATATATGCTGCTTATATGTCTTTTCTTTTCTGTCACATGCAGAATACATTCAGAAATATGCAACAGAAGAAGCACTAAAAGAACAGGAAGAAGGCACCGGGGACAGCTCGTCTGAGAGCTCCATGTCCGACTTCTCGGAAGATGAGGCTCAGGATATGGAGTTGTAGTAGAAGAGGCAACCTGCTTTTCAGAGAGACTCTAATTTCCTAACCATGAGAAGCAGACTATAATATTCATATTTAAACAAAGCAATTTTTTTTATTACTAAACAAGGTTTTTATGAATAATAGCATTGATATATATATATATCACCCTTTAGATCTTGATTTTCTTGGTCATTTCTCGAACCCGAGGTGCATAGCATATTCCCACATTCCATTTTGGTAGCAATATGCAGCCCGAATGCATGCATTCAAATTCCATTTGGCCAAGTCAACTTGTGTGCTACTGAACTGTCAGCTAAAACAGCTGCCCTGGTAGGTAGGGAGTTAGCAAAAAGATGTTTGCTTTCTTATCGATGTTTCCAAAGACACCACCTTGGATGCTAACATGGAACAGCGTTTGCTCAAAGTATAAAATCTGGGGGATGATATACTAACCATGTAGATCAGACAGTGGAATCAAAGGTGCTCCTTCAGGTCAACCTTGCTGATCGTATTTTACGTGGAGTCACATTTAAAAAAAAAAAAAAATCAAACAATACAAATGCATGGAGCTATTCAGAGCATTGAAGCTTAAAAATTTTGACTTGGATTTTAAGTCCGTTTTTATATGTGGACTCCTGCCTGCCCTTCTGAACTGTAGGGACTGACAACCACTGGTCTATTTGCTTTTGGGACTTTTGAAAGCCTTCATCTGGATGTTATTCACTTTCTTGGTCTGGATTACGAGCTGTTCCCTTTTCGGGAGGGGAAAAAAAAAAAAAAAAACACGAAAAAAACCCCACAAACGATGCTCTCTTTGATTTAGCTGGAGCACATGTGAAGTCAAACTCTTACTTTGTCATAGTTTTGAAACTGCTGCCCTTTAATGGCTTCAAGTTTGCTTTATTTCTCTTGCTTGAAGTATGGTTAAACACCTCGCAAACACTCTCCATCTCCTAAGAGGGTCCTCTGACCAGATGGATTAGCCTTGCTGAGAGCTTCAGATCCACGAAGATCGGCCCATTGGCCGTAGTCCACGAATCCATCGGCACTGATTTTTATTTTCCTTTTTTCCTCCCCCTTCTGCACCAGCTTGGTAGCCATCTGCTTGTGTGTGTACAACAGGATTAAAATTTCTTAAAAGTTAACAAAGAATATGATCTAGAAAAAAAAAAAAGATGAATAAAAAAAAAAAGCCTAAAAGCACCAATTGAGGAAGCAAGTGAATCTGCTCTGTTTTGTTTGGGTTGTTTTGTTGTTTGGGTTGGTTTGGGTTTTTTTTTTCCAGGATACTTCTGAATTGAAATGTTTGATTTCTCCTGGTGTCTTTCAGCAAACTGAGGTTTTTTTTTGTTGTTGTTTCTTTCTTTCTTTCTTTTAACGCTATGAAATCTAATATAGTAAATGTCTACCTGGGATGCCAGTATACTTGAATTTGGATAATTGTGCATTGGAAATTCAAACTAAGATGGATTTTTAAAGCTGAATGTTACCTGCTGTATTCTTTTGGGTTTTCGGAGGGGTTTGGACAAGATGTTTTAATTTGTGGTGCAACCTATAGGCCAGCGCCTGGAAGAAATCAACCCACCCTGAGCAACTCTTGAGCAGAGTTTTGAATGTCAGACTGGTACATTTGTTATTTTCCCAGAACTGGTTGGTTGGTTGTTGGGTTTGGTTTGGTTTGGGGTTTGGTTTTTCTATAGAAACGCCACCAAGTTTTGAGTCATTGGGGTTGGAAGGTTACAATCCTATTTCTAATTCATAAAGCACAATCAAATTTTTTTTTTTTCTTTTGGGGAAAGAAAAAACACCTCGTAAAGTACCACTTTGCTTAAGCATGACTTTCCTTAATAAAAATATACAAAGAATTTCCTTTATGTTAATTACGGGCATGAAGCAAAGGTTTTTCCTCTCCTTTTTCCCTTTTGATTTTAAAGCAGTAATGTTAGGGCTGTGGCTAGTGACTGTGCTGAAGTTCTCTATCTAGCATTTGTGGCTTGTCGGAAGGGTAATATTAACTATTTAACATGTAATGGTGTACTTAACTCTTATCTAGCACGCTGTTTTTCTCATTACTTTGGGGCGGGAGGGGCCACGTTTTGCTGGCACTGTTTAACTTGCTTACCTGCTGACCTAGCAGTTTGCTTGTGCTATAACCTTTACTGTAGGTGCTACTTAGGAGTAGAGTAAGTGCTGGGTGGTGATATCAGTTTAAAAGATTAAAAAAAAAAACAAAAAAACAACCAAAAAAACCAAAAAAAACCAACAAAAAAATCACAATAAAAATTTGTATTTTTTCAATATTGTATAAAAATAGTGTTCTAATTACCTCATCCCCCTTCCTTTGCAGGTTTTTCTTCCCCATCCCTCCATCCCCTAACATGGATTTAGTGCACCAAAACCACTCGCACCTTCCCCGTTCTTTTTGTGAAACGCGTATTCTGCTAAACAGGGATTCTCCCCCCCCCG